TATGAACTGTCCAAAACAGGCAAATCTATAATGACAGAAAGTAGTGGTTGCCTGGGGCCGGGAGGTTGGGAGGAAATGGAAAGTGACAGCTAATGGGTAGAGAGTTTCTTTTAGGGTGATGAAAATGTGCTAAAATTAGATTGTGGCAATGGTTGCACAACTCTGTGAGTATACCAAAACCATTTTTAAAAGAGTGAATGTTATGGCATCTTTGTTATGGCTTAGTAAAACCGATTTTAAAAAGAACAGAATTCAAACGAGAGCTCACTTTTGCTGCTGTATAGAAAATGGACTGACGCGGGTGAGAGTGGAACTGGGAGGGTTTATAGTCTTTGAAGCAAGAGGTGACGGTGGCCTGGACCAGGGCGGTGACAGTGGAGGCGGAGAGGATGGTTTCCTGATCTACTTCAGAGACAGAATCAACAGGGTTTGCTTCTGATTAGACCAAGGGATGAGCGTAATGGAGGACTCAAGGATGATTTGTGAGTATTGGTCTGAGTTGTGGAACTTACTAAGACAGGGAAAGCAAGGCAGAGTAGGTTTGGAGGAGGGAACAGATTTGGAAAAGAAGCTCGAGTTCCTGCCTGCTCTATTGAGATGTCTGTGAGGCACCTAAATGGAGATACCGAGTGGGCAGTTGGATACGTTGGTTTGGAGGTCTGTGAAGAGGTTGAGTCATCGTCACTGAAAGAGAACTTACGCTCATGAAGTCATCTCGGCAGAGTGGAGATACACAATGAAAATGCGTCTAGTAAGAAGACACAGAATAACGCCAAGCCCCTGAGGTGTGAGCAGGACCTCAAAGTTGGATGTTCCTGGGGTTCATTGTCTAGGGAAGGGGCTTGGTGTGATGATTACTTTCCTCAGGAGACTGGAATCAGTTGGCCAACCTGCAGGTGCCAGGAGAGGGATGCTGCTCTCTTCTTGTCAGGCAGGGTTTGCATTTCAGGAACTTGAGATGGTTTTGCTGGAGCTTCTGAGTAAGAGGAGCTACAGAGAGCCTCCGCCGCCTGGGAGCGGGTGTGTATCCCAAGATACCCTGATTACCTCGCATCTTGTGATCTACATTATTACTTACATGTTACTCTTTCTGTTCATTTCCCTTTTATTATCTCCAAGTCTTTTGTATGTGTCCACCCTGGTTCTTGCTCTGTTATGGAAAATTAAAGAAAAACTAATGTATCTACCATGGTATTGAAGAGTTAAAGGGATACTGAGCCTCCTAAGTCCAGCACGGTGGAGATGACAGCCAGTAGTGGGAGGTCCCAAAGGGGAGGATGGGTCTCTTTTGAGAGTAGGAGTGTCAAGTTCAGGCTCTCCCTTTCATAATGGCAGGTTTCTTCCATGGCTAGCCTTAAAGGAGCTGGTTTTGATAATTTAAAGGGAACTGGTCTTTCTTTATATCTTTTACCACATTTCACTATAAGGTCCTTGAAGACATGCCTTAACTGTTTTTGGCCTCTCAGTCAGTGCTCATGGGGTGGTAGGCCCTCCATAAATGTTTGTTTATGGTTTCCAAAGAGTTTACAATCCAGTTGTGGTGATCAGGCTGCATACATGAATGCGTGGCAGGTGTCAAAGTCACCGTAGATTACATGAAGGAGCTGTGAAAGGCTATGTAATTACACAGGAGGGAGAAATTACTTCCAGTGTGGGGGTATCAAGTTTGGGACAGACTTTGTGGGGGAGAAAACATATGGCTAGGCCTTGAGGGCTGAAGAGAATTCCACAAATAGGATGAGTAAGAGACGAAGGCATGCCAAGCAGAGGAGTCAGTGAGAACACAGACAGACACAAAGGGGAGGCATTCCTTTTCTCCAGTGTGTGACCAATAGAGAGGTGGCATGCATGGACAGAGCATGACATGTCAAAGCCAGAGAGGAGGGCTGGGGCCCTGCTGCAGAGCCCTGTAAAATGTCTCTCTCAGTGAGCAAGGGCTCTCTTGTTTCGGACCTGCCCCCCACCCCCCCGCTAAATTAATTAAATAATCATTCCCAGGGAACTCTGATAGCTGGGACTGGTTTTTTCATGGGAGGAAAAAGTGCTCAGCAATGAGAACTGTTAAACATTAGGATGGTTTACTAGTGGCAGCTTTAGAAAATCTTTTCCTAGAGAGTTTTATGCGTAAAAGAGACATACCATTTGTCGATGACTTCCGGTGGCCTCTCTTAAAACCATGAGAATGTACTAGACAAGCTCCCCAATTCTACGTTGTTGGATTCAACTTAACAAATATTTGAGTATTGACATGTAGGCGACCCTGGGTACCACTATGACAAAATTCATGCCATCTCTCCCTGCTGTTACTGTGCCTCTCCTCCACTGATTCCCATCTCAGTGAATGACACTTCCAACCACACAGTTGCCAAGTCAGAAACCTATGCATACTCTCTGATCCCTCATTCTCCCTCACCACTCACTTTCAATTGATCCCCAATCCCTATCATTCTACCTCCAAAAACACCTCTGGAATTTGTCTACTTCTTTCCAATCCCCCATCCTAGTTGCAGTCACTAGCATCTCTCATGTGGATTACTGCAATGGTCCAAATAACCTCCCTGCTCCCAAGCTTGGCCTTCTCCAATCTATCTCACATGCATGGTCTTTCTGACATGTAAATCTGAAAGCATTTTACTCTCCCACTTAACATGTCTTCATTGGGCTCCTGGGCTTGTGAGAGCGGCAGGAGGTGTGTACTGTGAGCCAGATTGCTTCAGGCTTCCTGTGTGCTTGAATTCTCAGCTGCTCACCTACTTATTTGACCTTTGCCTAGTTACTTATGCACCCACGGCAGTTTTCTCACCTATAAAAAGGGATCATAAGTAATTCATTTTAGGATAGTTGGGTGGATTAAATGAATCTGTATCTTCCTCTCTTCTATGAACTCTTTTTAAAACATTTTATTTATTTATTTTTAGAGAGAAGGGGAAGAAGGGGGAAAAATATTGATGTAAGAGAGAAACACCCATCAGTTCACCCCAACTGGGGACTGAACAAACCCTCAGCCCAGGCATGTGCCCTGACCAAAAATCAAACCAGTGACTCTTCGCTGTGAGGGAAGACTTCCAACTAACTGAGCCACACAGGTCAGGGCTCTTCTATGGACTCTTACATGTGGAGTGCTCTAGGCTCTGTTTCTCCTCTTTCTCCATGCTCACTCCCTTAGTCATTTCAACTGGTCTTGTGGCTTTAAATATCCATATAGTATATGGATAACTCCCAAATCTACATCTCCAGCTCAGACCTCTCTTCTGATCCCTAGACTCACATATATCCAGGTGCCTTCTCAACAGTTAGTACTCCACAGTTAGTACTATAATGTCCTTATTTGAGAAGTGAGGGGCTTGAAGTTTAGAGAAGTTAAGGTACTTTCATGAAGTAAGTGTTGGTGCACTTAAAACTCAGGCAGTCTGGCACCAGAGCCCCTAAGCTTGCTTACAAGATGCACATCATTCAGCCATTTTGATCTGGGGTTTTCTTTTTTACTTAGTTCAAAATTAGCGAACTATCTGCCCTTAGATAGTATTGCAGAGAACAAGCCATTCCATCTTTGATAGACATTTACTATGGTCCTGGATAATAAGCAACCGCCATTCATGCTCCATTTTACCAACATGGAAGGTAAAGTACAGTCAGGGTGATACCCTCGTGGCCTAGGTAGACATCATTACCACCATCACCACAGTTTATCATTTTATTGAACACCTACGATGTTCCAGGAACCGAGGCAAACACTTTCTACACCTCCTCTCATTTATTAACTAATTTTTCGTTTAACTGAAGTTGAGACTTGTGTTCTGACTTCTCCACGGTTTTCTGGATCACAATGACTCGAATCACTTAAATAGTAGTATCAAAGTCATTAGCGCACCAAAATAATTTGGAGAGATACCTGCCTAACACCCTACCCCACCCCCAATTTCAGGCCTGGGAACTGAGGTTCTGAAAAGTTAAGTACCTTGCCCAAGTCAAGCAAGTGGTGGTTTAGTTGGGGTTGGGAGAAGCCTCCTGAATTGAGGTCCTGAGCTCTGGATATGAGGCAATACTGCTTATCACCTTTTCTTTACCCAATGCACATAAATGAAAGGGCATCATGCCTCTTTTCGTAAATGGAGGGTAGTTATTACTGTTCATGATTTATTGTTCATGATTTATTGTCCATGATACGGTATCCGATAAATCATGCTCTGGAAATTACACTCTTTAACATCCCTTCCAGGCACATTCTGCGGTTACGCAGGTGACAGCGACAAACGGCCAGGCCTTTTCGTGACTGGCGGCCAGGGACTGTTCGCAACAGCCAATCAGGGTTTGGAGTTACAGACCTGCACCAATTGAAGATTTACGAAACCTCAACCAGGACCAGCTGGAGGACGGTGTCGGAGAACGTGCTGAGCCGCGAACTGCGATCAATCAGAGGGGAGGAGCGGATCACTGGCGTCCAATCCGCAGCTTTCAGACCTTGATCTCTGGCGCAAGGCCCGCAGGCCGGCCAATCAGCGAGCGTGCGGCTACCAGCAAGAGATGGGGGTGGGGCGGGGTGGGGTGGGGAGGCGGGGCTTGTCCGCACTGTGGAAAGGTGGGCACTGCGAAGAGCAAGGCCGGGTGAGGAGGTCTAGCGACCTGGGTCTGGGAGGGGGATGGCGCGCTCTCGCTGTCGACCGGGGTGGGGGTGGGGGTGGGGGTGGGGCGCGCGGGTTGAACGGGGGCGCGCGCGGGTAAGGTTACGAGAAACCCGCAGACTTAACCTCCGCGCTGCGGGAAACGGTGGGGAAAGGTTAGGGATCGAGCACCGGGCTGCCGAGGTGGCCCTCTTGGGGCGGATGGCTGAGGGAGGAGAGGATACTGTTGCTATGGCAACGCACGTGTGCAAACTGGTGACTCTTCACCTCCCAAACGTGCACGCACCTTAAATCCGCCCCCTTGTCCACCTTGGCGTCAAACGTTGTCGATCACCTACGGCTCACTGGCGGCTGGGCTGGGACCAGCGCAAAAATAACCCACTTCGGCAGCCGTCTCTCCCTCATCCACATCCTAGCTAGTCTCAGCTTCCCCTCCCTCCGCCTGTCTTGTCCACCCGCAGAGGGATTAAGCTCGCGCTGGGGCACTTGGTACGACAGGCCTTTGCGGTATGTATAAAACCTCCTGGGCCAGTTCGCAGAATGGACACAGTTGGGGTACAGTGCGGCTGCCTCATTCTGGAAACTGATACCATAGAGATGCTGTCGCCTGAGGAATCAGGGTTATTCCCCAGAGGGATTTTTTTTCTTTTTATTGATTCTAGAGAAAGGGGAATGGAGGGAGAAAGAGAGGGAGAGAAACATAGTTCTATTGCCTCTTGCATGCTAACCGACTGGGGACCAAACCCGCAACCCAGATGTGTGCCCTCACTGAGGATTGAACCTCTGTCCAGGGCCAGAGGGATTTTTCTTTTTTAAGGCATCCCACGCAGAACCTTGTGCATAACATATTTAGAGAATGGGAATTGACTCAATGACTGAAGATCACAATGACAGCTTTCCATTCCATGGACCAGCACTGTCCAATAGAAATATAATGCAAGCCACATACTATTTACTAATTTTACATTTTCAACTAACCAAATTAAAAAAGGTTAAATAAATTTTAATGTATTTTATTTAACCCAATGTATCTAAAATATCAATATTAGTATCAAAATTAATTTAATTTATCAATATTTAATTATTGGTAAGAGATCTTAAAATCTCATTTTCATACAAATCCTTCACAGTCTGGCATGTATCTCACACTTACAGAACATCTCAGTGTAGACCAGCCACATTTTAAGTGCTCACTGTCCATGGTTGGCTAATGGTTACCATATGAGACTGCACAACTATATATATATGTGTGAGTTGTGACCAAATATATGAGTCTCATTAAAATTCTTTGAAGCCCTCTTTATGTAAGAGAGCACTGTGCAGTGAGGTAACAAAAAACATGAAACATGTTATTTTTCTCAAGGAGCTTAAAGTCCAGTTGAGAAAAATGCACATCCACAAATTAAGTTGAATTTTAAATAGACATGATTCAGGCACTAGTACAGATAACAGGGCAGTATGTGATTGATTGGCAAATAAGATAGCTGATAATTATCCTTAGGAATTCAAAGGAGGGGTAATTCAATCTCATGTGATAAAGGAAGGCTTGAGTCTATTCTTGAAGGATGGATAAACTTGGATCGGTGGAAAAAGATGGGGAAGGTGTTTTGGTTCAATTGAACTGATTGTAACTTCTTTTGTTTTGTTTAGGGTTGAAAATTTGCTGGGTCCTGAGGTGTTCAGACTAAAAAAGACTTTCCTCTTCTATTGGCAATCTCCACCATGATTCATAGCCTTTTCTTGATCAACTCCTCAGGAGATATTTTCCTGGAGAAACATTGGAAAAGCGTGGTCAGCCGTTCTGTTTGTGATTACTTTTTTGAGGCACAAGAGAGAGCTACTGAGGCAGAGAACGTACCACCAGTTATCCCTACCCCTCACCACTATCTCTTAAGTGTATACCGGCACAAGATCTTCTTTGTGGCTGTAATCCAGACGGAGGTCCCGCCTCTATTTGTCATTGAGTTCCTTCACCGAGTAGTGGACACATTTCAGGTGCGTGAATGTGACAAGGTTCATACATGTAAATGATAAAGTATCTCTCTTATTCCATCTCCACTGTATTTAGTCCAATTAAGAAACGTTTTTAAAAAATTGAAACTCTGACCTTGCTCACTTCCTCCTCATCTGATAAGATTCTTGATTCTACTTATTGAATTGGCTGCATCTAGCATGATAAATTGAGTACTTTTGAACCTGTTGCATGAGAAAGCCACCCTACTCTGTATGATTGTGTACGGTCATTTTAGTTCTGGAGGTTGGAATTGTCTTACATTTTGTTCACAAATCAGAGGACTTTAGTTTTTGGAGGTTTTTTAAAATAGTGGACTTGATGCTAACCATTGTTAATTACATGCTTTAAGTTGCTTCAAAAAGTGATGAGTGTATAAAGATATATGTATCTATATCTATATCTATATATCTATATCTATATATAAGCTAAGTAAGGCTTGTTTTCACTCTCCCTGGCAAGGGTAATTTGTGAACATGTACTTCATTATGGGTTTAGGGTGCTTATTCACAGCATAGAAGCTCCTTGTTGCAAACTTGATATTGAAAAATCTTCTGTACCCAAAAGAATTTAAGCAACACACTTTACAAGATAGTTTTCTTTGTGAGTTTTCCCTTCAGGAATAGATTTGAAGATCTTGGGGAGTGGGATGTCAGCACCATTTATAGCACAGATTTTGAGCGTTGCCCAGACTCTAGTTTTAGACAGTGGAATCCTCTCTTAAACGACTTGCTCAACTTCTAACTGTTGTGGTATTTGTGTAACTCAGATGATAAATGAGAAGCAGAGGCGCTTTGGTTCAACTTCGATGTCATGTGAAGTCTGGAATTAGTCACATGAATATAGAAATTGTAGAACTGAACAAGAAGAGAAGGAGCACCCAAATGTTATGATAAATAATGAAGAATAAGTCAAAGAGTTCTTTCATTTGCACTTATATCTAAATCACATGTCTGAAACAGCTTTCATTCCAAAGGAATTATATTTTATAATTTTCCCACAGATACTTTCTGGTAGTGTTATTCTGGGATTCCAGTTTTCATGTGGTACGTGGTTCCTTCACACAGTGAAAACCTGAGAGTTATGAAGCCCAGTGTGTGGAGGAATTGTAAGTGAAAGAACCTAGTAGTTAGGAACTTAAACCGCTCTGACTGGGCCCTGTTATGATTTCCACATGTGATTCTTTACTCCATCCTAAAATTAACAGTCCCATTGATGAAACTTAATGTCAGCTGCATATTGCCATGCTGATCTTATGTAACTAATTATAAGACAGGAAATGAGAAACGTTGTTCAATCTAGTTGAAACCACAGAATAATTTGAGAAAATAGTGAAGTTGCTGGTTTAGAAGTTTGGAACTTCAGAACTTGTCATTTTTGATGCATTTGTTAAAAGTCAATGGATAGGCTGGCATAGCTCAGTGGATTGAGCGCAGGCTGCGAACCAGTGTCTCAGGTTCCATTCCCAGCCAGGCCACATACCTGGGTTGCAGGCCACGGCCCCCAGCAACCATACACTGATGTTTCTCTCTCTCTCTTTCTCCCTCCCTTCCCTCTCTAAAAATAAATAAACAAAATCTTAAAAAAAAAGTCAATGGATATGTCCTGGTTTGGGTATCTTTCTGATATATGTTCTTTCTGGCTGTATTATATTTCTAGGACTAGAATATAACAGAAGAGTTTCAGCTATAGAATTGCAGGCACTTTTGCTCTAGCAGTTCGTCATATTTACAAGTCTCCTTTCCAACTGCCGAGTTCACATTCTGCCTGATTTATAAAATCTAGTGATATGTTTTATTTATCTTTCAAAATAAAATCACTCTAGGGAAGGAAATGTGTAACTTTTTTGCCCTTCTTGATTTTAAAAAAGAAATCATTTTGTTTTAGAAACATATTTCTAAGTGCTCTTGGATATTGGAATGGCTTCAATAATTGACATTATATGATGTAATTAAATCACATCTGGAGTCTGTCATCAATTTTGAATATCACAATATGAGGAGAATACAGGAAAACTGGAGCATATTCAAAGAAATGGCAAGAGGGTAAAACGACCTAGAAACCATACCATGGCACGAACAGTGGAAAGATCAAACAGGAAGTTTGGCCCTAAGTAGAAATACTGAAGCCCTGGCTGCTGTGGCTCAGTGGCTGGAGCATTATCTCATAAACTGAAAGGTTGTGGGTTTGATCCTGGTCAGGGCACATGCCAAGATTGTGGATTCAGTCCTTGGTCCGAGCTCATACCAGGGGCAACTGATTGATATTTTTCTCTCTCACTGATGCTTCTCTCTTTCTCCCGCTGTCCCTTCCTTTCTCTCTACAAGCAATGAGAAAATGACCTCAGGCGAGGATAAAAAAAATTTGAGAAAAATATATTGAAATGAAATCCTGTAGTTGTCTTCAAATAGCTGTGGGACTAGTCTATAAACTTGTTCTATTAGGAAGATCTAGGAAACAAATGTTAGTTTAGCAAGAGAACTTTCTAATACTCAAAGCTGTCCATGAATAGAATGGGCCTTCTCAAAAAGGAGTCAGTTTCCCTTCAGTGGATGAATTCAAGAAGGTCATGTAACCATCTCAGAGGTCTAGGACAAGACATGATTGGCATTGCTCAAAGTGTGCACCAAATGACCACAGATATTTTTTTTCTAAATCATTTTAGCATCGTGCATTGCATTCTACATAGTGCTTTATAGTTTAAAAAACACTTTCACATGTTATCATTTAATCAATCATGCTGAGTTCTTACAGCATCCCCGTGTGTCCAATGGTATTATCCTGATTATACTGTTAAAGAAATCAAGACCCAAATTAGTTAGCATGACTTAATCTAGTAATCTAGTAAGTGACCATTGTAACCCAGGTCTTGATTTGGAATCCAGTGCTTTTTCCACAGCCCGGATAATTTAGTACCTAAGTTTAGCCTTTGGTAATAAAAGGACAAAGCATTCTTAGAATCATAGCATCTTAGAGTAGGGATGATACAAACTGATTTTCTAGTGTGCTTGCTCATATCCCTCATTTTATTTTATTTCCCTCTGAATTCTTATTTGCTGCATGAATGTTAAGCAGTAGCACACAGTAACAGATTAAGAAGATTTTCACTTCCAAATTCATATCAAGTATTATAGTTTCAAATTCTTGTTCATAAGCATATATAGTAGTTTAGATTCAGTTTTGTATTCTATATATTTTATGTAGTTGAAGAAACCAACCCAAAGAGGCTAAATGACTTACTCTAGTTTATAAAAGAAGTTAGTAATGATACTGGTACTACAAGTGTTCTTTTTAAGAGAACGATGGTTATGCCTCATTCCCTTGTTGTAGAAGAATATCCTAAACATTGAGTAAATACACACAGGCAGAACTAGATCCTTATTCTCTGGGAACATTCTCTCACTTAATGACAGTCTCTGAGTGATAAATGTATACACTGTCTTTTCATCAGGATTATTTTGGAGTCTGTTCAGAGCCCGTGATCAAAGACAACGTGGTTGTGGTTTATGAGGTTTTGGAAGAGATGCTTGATAATGGGTTTCCATTAGCTACCGAGTCAAACATCCTCAAAGAACTGATAAAGCCTCCTACCATTCTTCGAACGGTTGTCAACACCATAACAGGTATGGACAAAGGGCAAACCCACAGAAAGCTGCTGTCATCATGGGTGTGGCTTAGTCTGGTCCCTGCATTGTTTAGAATGCTTATCTTTGGGGATCTCAAGTGTCCAGGTGCTTTAATTTTGCTCCTTACAGTCTTGAAGTATGACCTGAGAGAAATTTTAATTACGTAGAAAATACCCTGATTTCAAAGACAGAATGAAGTAAAACAATTGAAAAACAATTTTTTTCTGATTTCAGAAGAAACACATGATTATTGTAGAAATGTTGGAAATACAGAAGAGCACAAAGAACATGAAATTAATTCTTAATCCCATCACACTTTTAACATACTTGTGTATATATTTTTATCTTTTCTAGATAGATAGATGGATAGAATTTTTTAACTACTCTTGTACATAGATTAAAACTTACCTTTTATCAATATTTTGTGAATACTATTTCGTTATGATAACTATCCTTCTACATAATTTTTAGTGACTACAATTTCCTGCCATATGGAATAGACCCTAAATTATTTACTCAGTCTCTGTTTATGTTTCTGATTTTTTGTTCTTTTAAATAACAAGAAATCACCCTGGCTGGTATAGCTCAGTGGATTGAGCACAGGCTGCAAACCAAAGCATTGCAGGGAGACTCCCAGTCAGGGCACATGCCTGGGTTGCGGGCCATGACCCCTAGCAACCGCACATTGATGTTTCTCTCTCTCTCTCTTTCTGCCTCCCTTCCCTCTCTAAAAATAAATAAATAAAATCTTTTAAAAAATAACAAGAAATCAGCATTCTTATACTTAAATCTTTGTGCACATCTAGGATGGTTTCATTTCAGTGCTAGAAATAGAAGGGCTGGGCCAAAGTGTGTGCACATTTTATGGACTTGCATGCATTATGCCAACTTGCCTTCCAGAAAAGTTACACCAGTTTATACTTTCAGTAGCAATTTCTATGTACCCTGGCCAACCCTATCATCATCATCATCATTATTATTAATTTTAAAAACCTTGGATATTTGATAGTTTAGTGATATCTTGTAATTTATACTCATTTTTATATTACTAAGGATGTAAAAGCTGTTCAAGTGTTTGACTGTTTTTCCTCTATAGTGAATTACTTTTTTGTGTCCTTTGCCCATTTTTTTTATGTTGAAATGCTTTTCTTTTTTACTCTAATTTAAAATAATTCTTTAAGGATATTAAACTACCACATACAGGGTCTAGCACAAATAATACTCCTTTTTTATTACAAAAACATAACAATATCACACTCTGTAATTCTGTAACATAACAATATCACACTCAAGCACACCATATGACATTTTAGGTGGAATGTTCAAATTGCTTTCCATCTCATGCGAGACATTCATATACCCTACTAACCACACTCAAGCAGGCCTTACTTCTGTTGGACCCTGCAATTGGAAATGTACATGTTGGTTTGTGGGAGTTCTTTATATATTTTGAATATTCTGTTACAGGTATTTTCTCACAATCTGTCTTGTCATTGACATTTTACATGGCATTGTTTGTATAGCCACATTTAAAAATTTTTGATTTAATGAAGTTAATCATGCTTCATTAAGGTTTTACCTTTTGGATCTTGCTAAGTATATAAATAGGGTCTATAAGGAATTTGACAAACCAATTGAAAAATACATTTTAAAAGGAGTAAATATGCACAGTAGCCAGGATGATTTTGAAAAAGAATTACATAGCCCTGGCTGGCGTAGCTCAGTGGATTGAGCGCGGGCTGGGAACCAAAGTGTCCCAGGTTCGATTCCCAGCCAGGGTACATGCCTGGGTTGCAGGCCATAAACCCCATCAACCGCACATTGATGTTTCTCTCTCTCTCTCTCTATCTCCATCCCTTCCCTCTCTAAAAATAAATAAATAAAATCTTAAAAAAAAAAAAGAATTACAAAAGGGTTGGAAGGATTTCCCTGTCAAATAGTATCAAGATATACTAAGTTCATATGGTACATGAGACAAAAATTCATAGAATAGATTTGAGTTGTAAAAACCAAGACAGTTTTGAAAATAAACATTAAAAGAAGAACAAGAGAGTGTGTCCTATCAGGTACAAGATATATCATGAAGTTTTGATAATTTTAAAAATATAGTATTGGCCCAGTAATAGGCAAATATGATTGGCATAAAATAGAAAGTCCAGAAACAGATCCTTGTATTTATAGAAATTTGGTATATATAGATGTAGTCATATATCAAATCAGTGGGTCAGGGGCCATTTGTTAAATATATTGTACTAGGGGAATCAGCTTTGATATAGAAAAAAAATGAAGTCTCTCTGCTTATTCTATACATGAAATAAGTTCCAGCTAGATATAAACACAAACTCTGTAACTGTTAGAAGAAAACATAAGAATGTCTTTTTTTTTTGCCTCCCCTCACCCATACTAAGAGAATGTCTTTTTGATCTTGGACAAAGGGAAAGTCTTTTTTAAAAAGTGTATTTTCTTCTAATTCTTTTACAGTTTTATTTTTGGATTGAATTACTTAATCTATTTGGAAATTATCTTGGTAATCAATATAAAGTAAGGCTCTATGTTTATTTCTCCAAATTATCAGTCACTTTTCCTAGCACTATTCCTTGAATAATTTATCTTTTCCCCTTTGCTTTCAAATGATATTTTTATCTTGTACTTAAATCATTGTGGATTCTTGGTCTTTTTTTTTAGGCTTTCCTGCCTTATTGTCATGCTTATTTAATTATTATAGCATGATGACATGCTTTAATATATAGCACACTTTTTAAGAAAATATTTGATGGGTTTTTCAATATTTTGAGCTCATTTTAAACCTTAAAAAGCTTTATTAGCACCTGATCATTTATGAATATTATTAAGTCATTTTCCAGAATCGAACTTAAATCTAGAAAAAAGGTATCTGAGAACCATTTTGAAAAGCTGAAATGTTTTGGAAACATGATGAATATGTGTGTGTTTAATGTTTATTTTCTTTAGATTAAAAAGATCCAGGTTACAGGAGAAGGAAATTTTGAATTAGTTATAATATTTCATAATTTGAGTATAGAGCCTTTGAATTAAAAATATTTTTGATGCTTGTGAGGGAAAAACAAGTTGAGGAATTTATTTATAACTCCTAGAGATTGGAGAAGATGTAATTTGCATTCTTTTTCTAAGTTTCAGTATCAGTATGAGAGAGATTATGTTGATGTATACATTTTAATATATCAACATATGCCATATGTATTATGCTATAATACATATAGCATAAATGTACTTAAGAATCTACTTCAAACCAGAATACTGTTTTTACCCATGAAATTTTTATATCAATATGTAGATTACCATCTCTGCTGAAAGCCAATACATTATTTAAGCTGCAAGCTATTGTGGAATTTGAGAGACCAAGTTCAAGTTACTTTCAAAACCAAAATATGATATCTGTTTCTCAGGTAACTATTTTAACCTTTATTCTGCTTGAGAAGGCAGACCAGATGGCGACAAGTTTTTAAAGTAGGCTAGGATGCCCATATAGAACTTGGGAAAACTCCTGTCTGTTTTTTTGAAAAATTCTTTAATTGACTAAATGAATAGTGGAAGCATAGAAACATCTAGGGAAGTATTCTATGATTATGAGATAATTGATCATATCCAGTTATCAAATTGGAAATAAATTGCAGTAATATTCATTATCTCAGGAAGTACCAATGTGGGTGACCAGCTTCCCACTGGGCAGCTGTCAGTGGTGCCATGGCGACGCACTGGGGTGAAATACACCAATAATGAGGCCTATTTTGATGTGATTGAAGAGATTGATGCCATCATTGATAAATCAGGTAGGTGCTTTTAACCTGTTTTCTGAACTATGAAAATAGAAGCCCCTTTCATGCAATGCTTGCTATTAGCAGAATTATCCCCCAATTCAAAATCATTCATTTTAACTTAGTTCCTACTTTGTGTCAAGCACTGTGCTAGGTACTAGAAATGGACTTAAATGTAATGATGCAGGTGACATGATCATATATGTAGAAATCCCTAAAGATTCAACAAAAAACTCTTAGAACTAATACATTCAATAAAGTTATAGTATAAACAATCAACATACAAGAACCAGTGGCATTTCTATATGCAAACAACAAACTATCCTAAAAGGGAATTAAGAAAATAGTTCCATTTATGATAGCAATGAAAATAATAAAATATTTAGGAATAAGAAATAAACTTAACCAAAGAGAGGTGAAAGATTTGTGCATTGAAAATTATAAAACATTGATGAGGAAAATTAAAGAAGATGCAGATAGATGGAGAGTCACCTATATTCATGGATTGAAAGAATTAATATTGTTATAATGTCGATAATACCCAAAGTGTTATACAGATTCAGTGCTATCCCCATCAAAATCCCAATGGCATTCTTGGTAGAAATAGGGAAAAAAATTCATACGGAACCAAAAGAGACCCCAAGTAGCCAAAGCAGCCTTGAGCAGGAAGAATCAAGCTGGGAACTTCATACTTCCTGATTTCAAAATATATTATAAAACTACATTAATTAAGATAGTATGGATTTGAAATAGATATAGAGACACATGAAGCAAAATATAGAGCTCAAAAATAAAACCACACATTTATAATCAACTGATCTTCAACAAGAGTGTCATGCATATACAATGGAGGAAGGATAGTCTCTTCATTAAATGTGTTGGGGAAGCTGAATGTCCACATACAGGCCAATCACATTGAACTCTTACCTCACCATATACAAAAATCAATGCAAAATGGATTAAAGATGTAAGCATAGGACACGAAATCATAAAACTACTAGAAGAAAAGATAGGGAGAAAGCTTTTTGATATGTCTGGGCAATGATTTTTTTTAGATATGACACCGAAAGCAAAGGCAACAAATGCAAAAATAGACAAATGGGATTGCATCAAACTGAAAAGCTGCACAACAAAGAAACAATCCATAGAGTGAAAAGGCAACCTATACATGGGAGAAAATACTTGTAAACGATGCATCTGAAGAGGGATTAATATCTAAAACATAAGGAATTCTGCAACTGTAGCAAAACAACACCAAAAACGAACAACCTGATTAAAAAGTCAGCACAGGACATGACTAGACATTTTTCAGAAGATATGAAAATGGCCAGAGGGTATATGAAAATGTGCTCAACAATTACTAACCATCAGGGAAATGCAAATAAAAGCTATGAGGTATTGCATCGTACCAGTTAGAATGGCCATTATAATAAGACAAAAGATAAGTGTTGAAAGGATGTGGAGGAAAAGGAACCCTTGTACACTGTTGGTGGGAGTGTAAATTGGCACAACCATCATGGAAAACAGTATGGAGGTTACTCAAAATCTTAAAAATAGAACTACCGTATGATCCAGCAATCCCACTTCTGGTTATATCCAAAGAAAGTGAAATAAATACCTTGAAGAGGTGTCTGCCTTTCCATGTTCATTGCAGCATTATTCACAGTAGCCAAGATTTGGAGACAACCTGAATGTCTGTTGACAGACGAATGGGTAAAGAAAAGGTGAGCTAGATCTGCACGCACAGTGGAAGATTATTCAATCGTAAAAAAGGAGGGACATCTTGCCATTTTAACAACATGGGTGAACCTGGAGGGCATTACACTTAACTGAGATAAACCAGATACAGAAAGACAAGTACTCCATGACCTCACTTACGGGAGCAGAGAGAGCAGAAGGGTGGTTAGCAGGGGTTAGGAGGAGGGGCAAGTGAGGAGGTGTCGGCAAAAGCGTGCAGAGTTCCAGTTATGCGAGGTGAGTGAGTTCTGGAGACTTAATGTACAGCAGTGACTACAGTTGCATTGTTAAAGGATTCCCCTCACCCCATCTAGTTAAATGAACACACCCTCACTTCACATATGTTTTATATACTTGAAATCTGCAGAGAGGGGAGATTGTTAGTGCTCTCACCACACATACACACACACACACACACGCACGCACACAAATAACTGAGGTGATGGATATGTTAACTGGCTTGATTTTGGCGATCATTTTACAATTTATGTATATCAAAACGTCAAGTTGTACAGCTTAAATATATACAATTTTTATTAGTTAATTATACCTCAGTAGAGCTGAAAAAGGCAATAAAAACATGACAATGCAGACCCATGCTTGTCTCATACATATTTACTTTATTTTTCATTTACTTTTTTCCGAAGTACTTTATTTTTCAAATTACATTTTATTGGTTATGCTATTAAAGTTGTTCTGATTTTCTCCCCTTTGCCCCACCTCTACCCAGCACCCCTCACTCCCTCAGGCAATCCCCCGACTTTTGTTCATGTCCGTGGTCATGCATACAAGTTCTTAGGCTACTCTATTTCCTACACTGTACCTTACATTCTCATGGCTACTCTGTAACTACCTATTTGTACTTCTTAATCCCTTTATTTCTTCACACACTTCCCCCACAACCTCCTCCCATCTGGCAACCATCAAAACACTCTCTGTATCCATGATTCTGTCTCTGTTTTTGTTTGTGTAGCTTGCTTTTTAGAGTCAATTGTTCATAGATTTGTATTTTTGCTATTTTATTCATAGCTTTTTTATCTTTTTATTAAGTCCCTTTAACATTTCATATAATAATGCTTTGGTGATGAACTCCTTTAGTTTTTGCTTATCTGGGAAGCACTTTATCTGCTCTTTCATTCTAAATGATAGCTTTGCTGAGTAGAGCAATCTTGACTGTAGGTCCCTGCTTTTTATGACTTTAAATATTTCTTTCCAGTTCCTTGTTGCCTGCACAGTTAACCAATGCCACCTCAGTACATTTAATAAAATTTTTTTAAAAAGATGAGATAGACAAACTCTCTAAGAGAAAAGTAAGCCCAGTAACTAAGTCCCTGAATACCTATAATATTCCTATTCTGAATAATATAGGAAAACAACAATTATTTGCAAATAATGAAGAGAGGTATGTCATTCAGAGGGACAGTTGGTCATTATGGGGCTGTCACTCAACATGGTGGTGGGGATCTCATCTTCCCCATGACGAGTCTTCAGAGATTCTTGTCAGTAAATGTGGGTGAGTGGCAGCTGGCTTTTGGTTCAGTGATGGTATTTTCAGCATTTTTTGACTAATAATTTCTGAGTTTTGCCACTAAATTTTTATGAAACCCTAAATGTGTTCTGAATTGTGTTCCATATATAAACTTCTGGACCTCTTTATGAAATACCTTTGTTGTAGCTTCTGCTGTTGTTGATGATGATTATAATGTCATTTTGTTGTTGACAGTGAGGTTATACAAATAAAGGAGAAAAGAGGGGTTACAAAGAGAAAGAGAAAGAGAAAGAAACACAGTCCATAACTACGGAAGCTTGCTGAAAGTCTAGTGGGGGAGAGAAAGGTTAAAAGGTGGACAATAAGAGAGGTATCCCACTCACACAGAACAAAATCTAAAGAGGTAAATTATTGGGAACCACTCTGCCTGGTTTCAGAAACTGTAACCCCCCATGGCTAAGGCTGAGTGAGAGACCTTGAGACCCTGAGCCACTAAGGAGACAAAGCTTATCCCCCTGGCAGGAGCACCACCTCTGCCTACTTTACTTCAACCAGCCTGGCCCCCAGTGCATGACTGCTTAGCCAATGATGGGTAAGATTCCTCAAGGGAGGGATGACCTAAGACAGGCATGGTCATGAGGGGGCCCTAAAGGAAGGACTTGGGACTTTAGAGAAAGGGGGTGATGGACCCTCACCTTTTGGCTTTGACATAGCCTGAGTCTACATTCTGTCTGCAAGAAATCTCCTAATCTCTTGGCTGCCTTACTTCTCCTGCCTAGCTTAAGCATGAAACAATGCTGGAGGTGGGTGCATCCCTGTGCTAAAAAGAGCAGGTTCCCCTGGGCAATCAGGCCTAAGAAAGAATACATAAAATCCTGTGAAACCTGCTTTGCTAATACTCTCAATTTAAATGATAAGAGTCCAAGCATGAAATGAGTTTGTTTCCCCAAAGTTTTATGGCCCTTTGGCTATCTGACCCTGGCTCAAAATAGCCCTCAGAGTTCTTTGAATGTTATCTGTTTGATCACTACTACCCAATAGTGATTGATGAGCTTTCCATATACACCCTATATTCCTATGCAAATTAAAGCCAATAAAAGCCTGTCAAGGCAAGGATCTGGGCACTGTCCCCTTGAGAGAGTGGCTGCTCCATCCCTTTTCCTCCATAGGACTCAGTAGTCTGCATGAATTTGTCTCGTCTCAGCCACAACACCACAGACACTGCTTGTCAGTGTCTGAGTCAGTGAATGTTTATGCTTTATCGGTGGAATGAGTTGAAGTTATTAAAATGTTCGTGTATTTTGGAGCTAAGAATGTGCAAACACTTAAAGATAAGTAAAATATTGTTGGGAAATAAAGTAGTTTAGTATGACTGGATTGAGAAGCACAAAAAAAGAAAAGTAAGTGTTGAGGCTTTAAAACTAGGCATAGCAGTTTTTCATATTAGTCCAAAGCTGAAAATATCCCAAATATCCATTAGTCATAGAAAGGTTAAATAGATTTTGATATGATCCAACAATGGAATACTATACAATAATGAAAAAGAATAACTACTCATACAGCCAACAACATGAATGAATCTCACAGTGTTGGGCAAGAAACTTGGATGTGTAAGGTTATGTACATTTACATGAAGCTTGAAGACAGGTGCAACTTCATCTAAGTTAATAGAAGTCAGAATTTTAAGGACTTGGACTAATTAGGTTGGGCAAGAGGAACACAGTAGAATGCTGAAAAGGTTTCACATCTTGATGTGGGTGATATTTGCATGGGCATATACATATTTAAAAATTCATTGAGCTGTACATTTAATATTTTCACATTTTACTGTAAGTTTTGCCTCCATTAAAAAAAAATAACCAAAAGAACAACTAGATGGCTAGATCATGAAAAGACTTGTATGCCTTTTTAAGGAGGGTTATTTGGAGCAATTAAAAAATTTTAAGTTGGGGTGTAACTTGAACAGATTTGTAGTTTAAAACTATCAGTCCAGCCACAGTGTGAAGAAGGGCTTGAAATGGGGTAAGACAGAAGGTGGGGAAAACAGGAAGCTGTTACTTAAGTCACAAAATATAGATGTCCTCAACGGTAGTGAGGGTGGAGGGGAACAAACAGATGAGTTAAAAGGTAGGAGTCATATGAAAGAGAAGAAATGATCATTGATTGGCTATGTGCAATGAACAATTAGAGGTGGTCGAGGATATTCTGGCTGAGCAACAGGATGGACGGTATCATCGTGAAGATATGGAAAATAGAAAGAGCAGGTCCAGGAATGAAAATAATGAATTCACTGTCATGTGTAAAGTTTGAAGTGCCTCTAAGACATCTAAGTGGAGCTGTCCAATTGGCTGAACTGGAAAAAAAGATTAGGAAATAATTAGCCATCAGTGAAAATTGAAGCCTGGAGCAGTAGGTGAAATAACCCAAGGGGAGCATGTTGAGTGAAAGAGAAGTTCGGAACTGGAAAGTCAGAGACATTTAAAGGATGTGAAAAGAAATCAGTCTGCAGAAGGCACTGAGGGAGACAGGTAGAAAACTGGGAGAGAGGACGATTTGGAAAAGGAAGAAGGGGGTCAACAACGACAAATGCTGCAGAGGGATCCCATGAGATAAAGGCCAAAAGTGTCCACTCAGTATAGCAGCAAAGCTCATTGGTGGCCTTAGGGAAAGCAGTTTCTGATAAGGAATTTTCTGAACCATTGGTTAAGATGATCATATTCTGTGTGATTCTGGTACTAGATTGAAAACTCCTTTAGGATAATTATCTCATTATTTTTTATTCCCATTACTTCTTCTAAGTATCTCATACTTGATACATAGATGATAAATGTTTGGAAGGATGGACAATGTTGCATAGATGGATTGGATGGATAGAAAGAAGGAAAGAAGGAAGAGAATGAGGGAGGGATAGAGGAAGAGATGGAAGGAGGGCGGGAAGAAGGAAATGAGTTGGGAAGAACAGAGGGGAGTTCAGTAACCTCCTACATTCCTTTTGTCTTGCTCCGGTCTCAGGTTCCACCATTACCGCTGAGATCCAGGGCGTGATTGATGCCTGTGTCAAGCTGACTGGAATGCCAGACCTTACGCTGTCCTTCATGGTAAAAGCCTGGACCACAGTTTTAGTTCTTGGGAGGGGAAATTAAATGCTTTTGGAAAGACAGAGTTGTGAGAATGAAATGGAACAAAAAGGTATAATTAAGGCCTTGGCTGGTGTGGCTCAGTGGATTGAACACCGGCCTGTGAAGGTCTCCAGTTCGATTCCCATGCCTGGGGAGGTTCCTGGTGGGGGGTGTGCTAGAGGCAATTGGTCCATGTTTCTCATCTAGATGTTTCTCTCCCTCTCTTTCTCCCTCCCTTTCTTTCTCTCTAAAACTAAATAAATAAAATCATGCCCTGGCTGGTTTGGCTCAGTGGGTTGAGTTCTAACCTGTGAACCAAAAGATTCTCAGTCAGGGCACATCCTTGGGTTGTGGGCCAGGTCCCCAGTTGGGGATGTGTGAGAGGCAACCAGGTGATGTTTCTCTCCTTCTCTCCTTCCCTTCTGTCTCTGAAAACAAATAAGTAATCTTTAAAATAAATAAATAAATAAATAAATGAATAAATAAATAAAATCTTTTAAAAAAAAGATGATTAAAGATATACACACAGCTGTGTCAGGCTTGACTTTTCTATAAGTAACTACAGAATTTGTGTGTGTGTGTATGTGTTTTAGTAAAAACAACATCTAAATTGCTCCTGAAAGAAAGATGGCTATTTAACTACTACTTTTTGCTTTTCCTTGCCTGGGAACTATAGAACCCCAGGTTGCTGGATGATGTCAGCTTCCATCCTTGTGTTCGTTTCAAGCGCTGGGAGTCGGAGCGTATCCTCTCCTTCATCCCTCCTGATGGAAACTTTCGCCTGCTCTCGTACCATGTCAGTGCCCAGAAGTAAGCAGCCCTTATAATTAAGAATGAAATGTGCGTGTGTGTGTGCGTGCACACACATGCATGCATGTGTGTGAGTCATATCCATAGTGATAGAGCTCTGGCTCTGGAGTTACCTGGGTTCAAATTCCAGCCTCTACACTTACTAATCAGGTAAACTTGGCCGAGTTGCTTACTCTTTCAGGGTCTGTTTTCTTATCTGTAAGTTGAAAATAATAAAAGTACCTTGTTACAAGTGTTAAATAAGAGAATCTAAATAGTGCTTATCACAAAGTCGGTGCTCATGAAGTTTGCTGCTGTTATTTTTGTTGTCACTACTATATGTCTAAATAAGAACATTGTTTTTTCCTCAAATTGGAATCTGAGTACACCTGTATTCAACCCCCCAACCCAAAAGAAGCATTAAATTATGCAATGAAAACCATGAAATGCAGCAGTTTTTCGTCTTGGACATTCTCTGCAATGTGAGTCTAAGGGTTTTTAGCAGCAGGAGGTGTACAGTAGAAGGCGTGTGGACTGAAGAGAGCTACGAGACCTCAGAGCCACCACTACCCTTCTGTGTGATTTGGAACAAATGGTTTATAAAACTATCTGAGTACTTGAGAGCAAAGGCTCTGGAATCAGACTGCCTAGATTTAATTCACACTTTCAGTATTTATGATATGTGACCTTGGGCAAGTTTCTTAATGAGGTTAAGCATATCAGTATTCATCTGTGAAATCAGGACAATAGCAGTACCTACTTCATACTTATTGGAAGATTAAATGAGGTAACAGAGATAAAGCATTTAGCATGGTGGCACTCAGGGAGTGCTTAGTATATGTTAGGAACTGTTACTATTCTCTGACTTCTCTGTTTCCTCTTCTGTCAAGTCACCCTACTTCACAGGGTTTTTGTAATGACCACACAAGGTCAGGTAAAATGTCTCTCTCAAGAAATTAATAAATGTGCATGATGTATGAATATGACTCTCCCAAGTACAAAGAATTATCAGTTACATGTCACAAAATAAAACAGAAATATATGATGACTCCTAATTTTTTGTTTATAATGCCTTTCTCAGAGTAGGCTTTAATTTTGTGGATATTATTCAAAGAGTCATTAGGACAGTTAGTTTGCTTACTAGACAGCATCTTAGCTTTACAAAAAGAAACAAATAAAAGATTATTAGGGGCTTTTACCTGGGCTTAATTTTTAAGATGAGTAAGGAAGTAGACAAGGGAGGGAAAGTTGCCAGCAGGGCAGACAAGGAGGAAAGGGTGCCATTTGGGCAGCACATTAATGAAATGGGCTTTTGTCTATCTCTTTTCCAGCCTGGTGGCAATTCCAGTGTATGTCAAACACAGCATCAGTTTCCGGGACAGTAGTTCACTTGGACGCTTTGAAATAACAGTGGGACCTAAGCAGACTATGGGGAAGACCATCGAGGGAGTGATTGTCACCAGCCAGATGCCCAAAGGGGTCCTGAATATGAGCCTCACTCCATCTCAGGGCACACACACGTTTGACCCAGTGACCAAGGTAGGAGAATAAGCAGGAGGTTTTGAATTGCTGATCTCGTATAGAAGTAACCCTGCTGGAGCTCTCCACATAGACTTTATACCTTGTTGAAAGGGGTGATTATTCAAAGGGACCTTGTTTTTCTCTTGAGACAATTTAGGGTAACAAATAGGGTTCTCTGTTGGGAAACACCCTAGAGGCAGGCTATAATATGCAAACCGATGGCCTGAAGTTAGAGCTCAATAGCTGCGCATGAAAGGTTCTGCTGTAACTGTTTCTTTCTTTGAAGATGCTGTCTTGGGATGTAGGAAAAATAAATCCCCAAAAGCTACCAAGTTTGAAGGGGACCATGAGTCTTCAGGCTGGAGCTTCCAAGCCAGATGAGAACCCCACAATTAACCTGCAGTTTAAGATCCAGCAGCTGGCCATTTCTGGTGAGTACCTACAGCAGAGGTACCTTTGAAGGGAACAGAAGTGACTCCCTGCTTATCAAGTTTGGTTTCATGGCCTGACATGCAATCTTCAGTGAAATCCTTTCCAACACATTTCTGGGGAAAGTTTACAGTCCTTGCTTTAAAGTTGGCTTCAGGGACCTGAATAAAAGTCTAAGACACAGATGAGAAGGCAGAAGTGTTCCCCGGCAGTTGTTGAGTCTCCTAGGCTTGTCGCTTTGGGGTTTCCTAGGTCTTCAGTGTGGAAATGCTTCTGCTCTCTCAGCTGGTGACTAAAAAGAATCATTTCCCCTCTTTTCCCTCAATTTCAGGACACTTTCACATGTGTTTTTATTATCATGTAGAACCCTTGGGCCTACACAAGTTGGTTTGCTGTAGTCTACACCTACCTCAGGATGATAGCAATAATAATAGTTACCACTTACTGGGTATTTACTGTGTACTGGGCACTGTTTTAAGCTCCTTTCATCTCTTATTGAATCCTTTGAACAATTCTGTAAGATAGAAAGGAGATTATGTGAAGTTCCTATTTTTCTTTACCAACAGGCCTTGTCTAAAGTACGTGATTAGAATTCACTTAAATTATAAACTCTTTTCATCTTAAAATATTTAATAAGCTTCAAATTTTATGTGGTATAATATTTTTTAGCTTAGTATAGTGAGAAGAGGTAGAAAACATTCATTTATTAATTAATTATTTTCCATTATTCATTCACTTGACTATAATTTATTTCATTAATAATTTCTTGATTTGGCATGATTATTAATTCATATACTCAGTACAATAAGTAGAGAAAAACATACAGTGGTCTTTTCCTTTACCCTCATTTCAGTCTGTGTATAACTTTCTGATGCGGACACCAGCCACCAGTGTCTGAGCCGTTATGGATGAGATAAGACAAATTCACGTGGACTACCGAGTCCTGTGGAGGAAAAGGGTCAGTGCAGCCACTCTTTCAAGGGGAGAGTGGCCAGACCCTTGCCTTGACAGGCTTTTATTGGCTTAATTTGCATAGGAATACAGAGCATATATGGAAAGCTCATCAATCATTGTTGAGCAGTAGTGATCAAACAGATAACATTCAAAGAACTCTGAGGGCCTATTTTGAGTGAGGGTCAAATAGCTAAAGGGCCATAAAACTTTGGGAAAACAAACTCATTTCATGCTTGGACCCTTATCATTTAAATTGAGGGTATTAGCAAAGCAGGTTTCACAGGATTTTATGTATTCTTTCTTAGACCTGATTGCCCAGGGGAACCTGCCCTTTCTAGCACAGGGCTGCACCCACTTCCAGCATTGTTTCAGACTTAAGTCAGGCAAGGAAAGTAAGGCAGCCAAGAGATTAGGAGATTTCTTGCAGACAGAATGTGGACTCGGGTTATGTCAAAGCCAAAAGGTGAGGGTCCATCACCCCCTTTCTCCATAGCCCCAAGTTTTTCCCTGAGGGCCCCCTCATGACCATGTCTGTCTTAGGTCGTCCCTCCCTTGAGGAATCTTACCTGTCACTGGCTAAGCGGTCATGCACTGGGGGCCAGGCAGGTTGAAGTAAAGTAGGCAGAGGTGGTGCTCCTGCCAGGGGGATAAGCTTTGTCTCCTTAGTGGCTTAGGGTCTCAAGGTGTCTCACTCAGCCTTAGCTATGGGGAGTTACAGCTTCTGAAACCAGGCAGGGTGGTTCCTAACAACTTTTTGCCCTTTCCACTTAGAAATAGGTCTTCTAATAGGATAGCTTTTGGTTGCAGAAATTGTTTTATCATCAGTGTATATATTAACAATGAAGAATCTATCAGTTTCATGTAATTGATGTAGTAAATGAAACTTTTTCCGGTTCATTGCTACTACTATCTTTATCCCACTGATCTCTTTGAATGGAAATGAATTTGAACAACTATGCTACCCGCTTCCATGAATTTTGTTTATGTCATGTTCTTTCTTCCTTCCTCCCAGGACTCAAAGTGAACCGTCTGGACATGTATGGAGAGAAGTACAAACCCTTTAAGGGCATAAAATACATGACCAAAGCTGGAAAGTTCCAAGTTCGAACCTGAAAGGAGAGTTTTGTGAAGGAAACAGCCACGAACACTTTTTCCTTTCTTACTTGTCTAAAAGTAAAAAAAATATCAGCCTGTCTCCTAGGTCAGTCTCCTTCTGGACCCACCCACTCCCTTTTTTCCTTAGCCTTCAGTGCCTGGAACTAATCAAGGGAGAAAAGGGTCACCAGGGAGGATGGGACAGAACTGAAACTCGGTCAGCACCAACTCAGTTCTCAACAAGGAGCTATGTGATGGAGGCCAGAGATACCTGATACCATATTTAACTATTTTTAACATGGTCACCCTAGGAAAACACTAGCACTTGTTACTTGTTTGGCTTTATTATCTAAAGCCAATGAAAGGCTTCTTTGTTATTTTTTAAGGTGGGTAGGTAGGTAAGATAGAAGGAAGAAGGAAGGAAGGAAGGGAGGGAGGAAAAAAGGAAGGGAAAAAGAAGGAAAGAAGAAAGGAGGAAAGAAAGGTAGTTAGCTTGGAAGAAAATGAATGTTAGTCAGGCAAAGGCCAGCTACAGATCTGATCTAGGAGGGGAAGAAAGTGGAAACAGTGTTAAAGAAGTTTGAGGACCCAAGGTGAAAGTGGCAAGGAAAGCAAATCCCACATGGAGAAGGGTTGGGAAGAATATAGCTGAGTTTGTTTATTTCTGATCCCTCTACTTTCATATATCAAAAAAAAAATTGTACTTCTAGAAATGAACTGGAAACTTCTAAATTCAAGCCCACTGTTGATATGGAAACCCCCAGTAGAATCCGATTTTCCCTTGAAGGCCGTGACTATCTGACCAGTTTCAGATACTATCGGCTGTTTGCCTTTAGGACTTGGTCTGTCATCTTCAGTGAGAAGGTGACTTGCCCTTTTCCCGGTGGTGGCTGCCAGGAACTCCTCTTTCCCTAACCCAGAACACTTCTACTCACTTTACAGAATTCACCAGCCTTTTCCTGTTACCTGAGGAGTTTCAGGAAAGCCAGTCCAGGGCAGCTGTATTTTGTATGTCATAGTATTGGAGTGTAGACGGCCAGCTCATTCCTCACGAAGGTGTAGCCCACCTGTAACCCAGTGATTCCTTATTTTCCTTGGTCAGTGCTGTGCTGCTCCGGGGGTCCAAGCCACCCTGTTTGAGACTCTTCCATCCATAACCAGAAGTAAACAGAATGTTTACCATTGAGGGTGTGGTTGGTTCATTCTTGAAGCTGCTCAGTAAAATTATGTCCTCAGTCTTTTTTTCCTCTATAATGTATTTATTAACAATAGATATCTAACAGTCCATTTTTCTTTTTAAGACCATCCCCCCTGCACAAGTCTCCCAAATATTTGAATGAATCTTTGAATGATGTTGTAGGAAGATGAGCCGTGTTAATAATGCGTAACCCAATTTCAGAAACATGGCAACTGGAGGATTACCTCAGGCTTTCCCAGTGCGTGATTTTTATTCTAGTTTAGTGGGTCTGCTACCCATTTACACATTTATATAAAAGACAGGTTTTTAAAAGTTGTAGCTTAAGTAGTGATAGTGTGCTCTACTTCATGCATGGAGAAAAATGAAAACCTATAGTCTCCAAACCCTATGATCTTTCTCCAAAGCCTTATTTCCAAAACACTTAAGTGATTTGTTTTTTCTAGTTTTAACTTCCTACTTGCTGGACTTGTTTTTGCTGCAGAGTCATGTTGCTTCTTGGTTTTCCTCTGGGATACACTGTTTTTCAGATTCCATCACTCCAGAATTGGTCGTGATTACTGCACCCCATCTACACACCTACTGTGGTAGGGAAACATCTCTGCCTGCGGGTTGTACAATACTTAGCATTACTTCTCCCTAGGGCTCTGGAGGATTTTAAACTTTTGCAGAAAACAACCAAGTCTGTCCCTGAATATTTTTAGTGTTTTGAGTCCAGCTGTTTTAGTTCCTCCAGGGTAACTCATCCTAATCTCAGGCAGAGAAGTTAAGGAGGAAAAAACGTGTCTAGGGCTATGGGACCTGCAGGCCTTAGCACAGAAGTAACGATCACAGCGCCTGCGTAGCAGACCTGTGCAGCACAGTGGAGCCACATTGCTACCACCCGCCACGTGTTAGTGTAACAGTGCAGGGTGTCTGGATTGAGCTGTGGAGTTGCATGTGTTTAACATGTGCAGAAGCATCTTCTCTGTTTAAAGTCTTAATAAAGTTGAGTTTTACCAGTCCTCCGTGTGCTAAGTGTTTTGTTATTAGGGCTAACAATGATGCTGTGCCACATGTGCCTCTGCAGAAGCAGTAGGAAATAATTCAGGAGCACCTTACTGTTGTGCTTTTCAGCCAACAGACCTAAAGCCATACATATAGTTTGCTTCCCGTATATGCCCTGACCGGGGATTGAACCTGCAAACTTTTGGTGCATGGGACAACGCTTCAACCAACTGAGCTACCCAGAGAGGGCCGTATATACAACATTTTTAAGCTTGTGAGAACAAAGGTCCAGATCAAATTATTTTTCCCTAGTGTGTGAAAGACAAAACCATTAAAGCTGCTGATGTCTATTCTACTGCTTTCTCCATTCTGTTGATCTTTATTGATTAATTCAGACATGAAACAGGGCTTCAAGGTCCTAAACGTCTTAATCGTAGTAGAGATTCCTTGGAAGTTAAGAAAGACATTGGGAGTTTTGATCCAGTGTAGACGCTGGTGGTTATCTCATAGCTGTACTCATTTCCTTCTGTAAGTCCCTCACGGCCCATACAGGGATTTTAATACTTCTTTCTGTCCACTTACCATGGTATTTAATTTCCATTCTAGCTATCTTAATCATTAATATCTCTTCCCTTGGCCTGGCTCTTTGCTTAGCTTTGGGGTGTGACCAGGTATATTTTATACTTGTACTTTGCTTTCTGACCAGCAGATGGTGACTTAGTGTCAGCAATGAGATTCATTTCTTGTTAGAATTTTGAAAGGGTAATTGAATATGAAACTAAAAATTTCCCAAGGATTTTTTTTTATAGGATCCCAAGTACTGGAAATTGTGTGAGTCTTTGGCTTTCTAGGTAAACCTGGAACCAAGCGTTTCTGACACTTTGATAGCCAGCCTTAAGGGTGGGGCCCTAGGAGGACAGCAGTTTCAATCATCTGAGATCCTCAAGTCTTTACCCATTTAGACTAATTACACGCGATTACCTGAGAGTCTGTCTTGTTCTTCCAGTCTATTAGCATCTATTTCTTTTGTTAACTGGCTAGGGATAGTGAGGGGAATATTACATGATAATCCTATTTGATTTCATCTTGTGTCCATTTCCGTCCCCTGACAAGTTCCAGACATTTTATCCTGAATTTCCCAACCCACCCTGGTTAATGATGCGCAGCTCTTTGAGCGCATTTTAGCAGAGTTTAAACTAGTCCGTCTTGCAAGGCGGGAAGTCTGCCCTGTAGCTCAGTCAGTGGCCTCTTCTGAGCAATTGTCTTTATCCAGTGTGCGGCTTGTTTCCAGGACTTCGCTCGAGGAATGTTAACTTTGCATTTCTATCCCAGGAGGCCTGACTGCCTCCGTTCATTTCATTAACCCGACTCTCTGCAGAAAAGCTCCTCGCACAAGGGGGAGGGGAGGAAACCAGCTGAATTCCTGCCCGGAGATTCAGGAGCTGGGAGTCTTGTTTACTGGTGTCCCCTAGGCCTGTTTTTCTGAAATGGCTGAATGAAAAAGACACATCTATCTAAAAATCTGCTGCTTGTGCAGGGAAATGTGTAAGCAGTCATAAGTCAAGAAACCTGTGACTTAGTTTCTGTGAACTGCATTTATTTAGCTGCTCCTGGGACTTCAGCATTCAAGGGAAGTGGGTCCCCCCCACCACCCACCCCACCACTGAATCCAGCTCTTGGGTCTTAGAGTGTCTTTCTTTCAAGTGTTGAAACTACTTTTCTTCTATAAACCTCTTTAACGGAGCAGTCTTACAACATCTGAGAGAGACCTACAATCACATTTTTCGTCTCCAAGAAACTGTCAGCATGTGCAACAGCAAGCATTGCATCAGCAGATTTATTCTTGGATCTGGGCTGCCAGCGACGACTGCCTGGCAGCAGCCAGGTGTATGGGTTGTATCTCCACAGCGGCTGGGAAAGCCGTCTAAAAGATGCAGAAAGCAGCATTCCTTAGGTAACATAATTTGTGTGGGTTGGTCTGGGAGTTTATTCTTTCTGATGAACAGGAAAGCAAAACAGGGGGAAATGGTCCAGATACTGGGTTCTAGTCTGAACCAACAGTTGGCAGGTTGCTGTGTTAGCAGGTCATGCGTAGGTTCTTCTTATCCCTTCATTTCTCCTTTACGGTACTGTGGTTGCTGTTCAGGGAGCCTCCCCAGCTCCGGGGGCTCCTCTCTTCCGAGCCACCACTTGCTTAGTATTCATAAGGCTCAATTCAACACTCATCTGGAGCAAAAACCTCAGTGCCTCCCCATCGCCTACAAGGTTAAGTCCAGACTCACTTTGGCTTTTAAAGTCCCTATAATCTAAATTCCAACCTACAGCCCTGGCTGGGTGGCTCAGTTGGTTGGAGAGTAGTCTTGTACATGAAAAGGTTATGGGTTTGCTTCCCAGTCAGGGCACGTACATAGGTTGAGGGGTCAGTCCCCAGTTGGGCAGCAACCAATTGACGTTTCTTTCACTCCCTGTCTATCTAAGATCAATGAACATATAGTTTAAATAATAAAGAAATCAATTCCCACCTACATTCTTCATGCACTTCACTTCAAATTGTATTACTCAATTCCTTCCCATACCCCTACTGCTGTTTTTACTAGATCTTTATGGTTTCATGCAGTGGTATTCCTTGCCTCGGGAATACCTTGCCTACACCTCTCCACCAGTGCAAATCCTGCCCAATTTTTGAAAGCCCTACCTAACTAATTTTTCTGAGTCCCTAATCCCTCCTGCAACTGAACTTCAGTAAAAGTTTCTCTCTGTCATTTTGTGGTCCATCTCTGTTCTACCTCAGTATTTCTCTCAATACCTTATTGTTCCCTTTTTACTGCCCAAAGCACCTAGCACGTTGCCTCGTACGTAGCACATGTTCAGTATTTGTTGAAAGGAAATACTGCAAATGATGTTAAAATGTGAACATGAATAAATCAGCTGTGGGATACTGTGTATGAAACAACTACTCCACTCCGAGAAAACATGTGAAAAATATACCTGAATTTATTTTTCCAGTATCGTATAACACAGAATAGTGGCGATACAGAGTAGACACTACAATGGATTGATATCCAAATGCTAAAGCCTAGTTCATCCGTTATCAACATGATACAATTCTTCTATTATAAAGTTTATAAAGAGAAAAAGATTTACACTGTACACAAAAGGAATTCCAAGAGCTGTAGCCCAGAGAAAGGGGACAGTCTAATACTTAACTTAAAGGGTGGTCTGAGGAACGCGGTCTGGCCAGCCAGCCCATTCCGTGTTAGGAGGCCCCGGTCCCCAGTGGGCTTCCTCATGATTATATGCGGTCATTCTATTTCTAATGCAATACTTCTTTCCTGAAGGATCTAGCTAGTTTTTACTAGAAACAAACTTTCATTTTTGTGGTCCCATTTCCAAAGCTGCTCACGTTGACAGATTAGGAGGTTAGGCTTTTGTTCAACCTCTTGTCTGCCCTAGATGGTGGTGTTCTGGGAGGGGTTGGCATTTATCTGTCTTTTTGTCTGACAGAAATGCATTCTAAATCAGACCTTAACCCCTGAAAACTTCCGAAGTGGGAAGTACCTATGAAAATGCATCCTTTCCCCCCTCCTATGGGTTCTCCCTCACTAGTACTGTGTGCAGGCTCGTGGAGAAATCTGTCAAGAAGCTTTCTGCCTTGGTGTGTCTTCTGACATGGAGGGAGGCAAAGTCTGATGATTTCAGGGAGCTGCGTGTTCTTGGTCATGGGCGCATATTGTCATGAATCCAGTCTAGGTAATTAGTGACCTTGGTGTATACACCTGGAACGTCTTTATTCCCACAGCCAACACCCCAACTGATGATGCCAACCAGAGTCATGTGGTTGTCCTTCATACACACCAAGGGGCCTCCGGAGTCACCCTGCAAAGGAGGGAATTGGTTAGTTGTTTGTAAAAATTGCAGACTCTGTGGGTAGAAATTAGGGTTAAGGTTTGTGTGTTACTATTGTACTGTTTGTAGTACTTGGTTCGCAGAGGGAAATTTTATCTCAATGATCTTGGTCCTCTAAGAGATTTAGGCTGTCTCTACATTGTAAAGTAGAACTGAGGTAATTGCTCAGGCGTTTCAGGCTGGGTGACAGGGGCTAACTGTGCTTATCTGTAAAAGAGAGATGCTGCCTATCGGATGAGGTTCTTATGGGAATCACAAAAAAGCTTTAAAAACTCTGAGATTAATGTATACAAGACATTTAGTAAACTCTTTGTACTTGTTAGCTGTTATTGTCTTGCTGAATCAAACTGATTTTTGTTTTTAACCTGAAGCTTGCAAATAATCAGGGTTTTACTTTGCATTCAGCCTTTATATGACTGTCGACAATGGAAGTGTCTGAAGAAATTCTTCAAAAAGAGACCACAGGCTGTCAAGGAACCAAGGGCTGGGGGTTGCTATGATCACTTTATAAGAGCAAAGTCCACAAAGTCTTCAGTGCAGGAGCCTGGCTGACCTCCTTCTTTTTGCAGGCTGTTCCCCAGTCCGTCAGGGAACAGCCTGCACATTGCGGGCACGAGCATTCTCATCAATAAGGCATCCTGGGTTACGTTCAGGCCCTATCTCATGGTTGTTCTGTGTCTCACAAACCAGTGTCTTGTTACCATGAAACAGAAATGCAATACTGACTCCAGTAAGGATGCTAATACAGAGAACCTGAGATGATTCGCTTTCCCAGGTTATTAGGGCTGAGCATAAGTTTTTAAACCTCACTTCTCATGAATCATCTCTATCCTACTTTCCAGCAAGTTTCCATCCCTCTTTCCCCTGCTCCAAAGCAGACTGCAATCCCCCAGCACCTACAGAAGTCAAGAGTTTCTTAATTTGTGTTGCCTTATCCACCACTTCAGTAGTCAGTTAATTGCTTGGGCTTACAGGAAATCCTGTACCAGGTGGGGTTTCCTGTGCAGACACTGGGGAAATTTCCTGCAGTACAGATTTCTTAAGTTTGGGTACCTTTGATCATTCTCCAATTGCCTCACTCTCTGAGGCCAGCGCCTCAGTAAAATCTCCAGTGCCTCAGCAAGATGAAATCACTCCATTCTGGCTGGAGGTTTTTCCCTTGGTTAAGGACCTGTTGGCCACGGGACATTTTTACCCTTGGAGAGACCTCATATTTACCTGGCAGGCATCGTGCAGGTTCGCTTGGTTCCCTCCACTGCGCGTGTCTCCAGCACACAGCATGTTGTTGGTGATGGTTTTGTTGGACACATACTGGGGCGCGCAGCGGCTGGAGGGGTACAGCCTGACATGCGCTTCCTTCAGCCGCTCAGAATAGAAAGGAGAAACTGAAAGAGAGGAGAGAAAGTGTCTTGTGGTTTTAGGGAAAGTTGTCAACCTTTTGGAAGGAAAAGGCCAAATTTTCTAATAATAGCTAATAAGTGTCAAGCTTTTACACATATTGGTTGAATCCTATGAAATTGCCAATATTTTATTACTTTGCACTATAAAGACAACAGTTTTATAGACCTGAACCAGGGTTTCTCCACAGCAGCATTGGTGACATTTTAGACCAGTTTTTTTTTTTTTACCAGATAATTTTTGTAAGGGGCTGCCATGTGCATGCTAGATATGAGGCAGCATCCCTGGCTTTCCTCACTAAATGCCAGGAGAAACCTCCATCCTGAGTTGTAACAATCCAAAATGCCACCAGACTTTGCCTGATGTCTCCTGTGGCACAAAATCACCCTTAGGTGAGAATCACTGGTTTAACCTAGTATCTTATTTAATCTTCATCACCTAAGGAGGTAGCTAGTTCTGTCCCCATCTCACCAATGGGGAAACTGAGGCTTGGAGCAGTGTCAAATAGAAATCTAAGCCAAGGTCACACTGCTAGGGAGGAGCAGAGCAAAGAGACTTGAACTCAGGTCCACAGGATTGTAGCCCAAGTATCCCACCCTTCATTACCATCTTCACTCTGATCAGAACATTCTTGAAATCCTAAACTCTTCAAAGCACTGGTGCTATTCAGACCTTTCAGCACCTGCACAGTGAGCCCACGAGGTAGGGAAGGGGACGGTGGGTTCTCACTAAGCAGGGAACTTGCCCACAATGACACAGCGTCAGTGCCTGACCCGGGGCTGGAACCACTCTCATGGCCACTTTTCCTCTGTCTGGTCAACACCTGCACCCCCTGCCATTTTGCAGACAGACAGGATGGGCCGTGGCTTCCTTCCACTTACACGCATCATGCTTGCCATAGCCAGACAGCTCACACTCTGTCCAGTCGGGCAGCTGCAGGTCGGCTTCCGGGAGACAGACGGCGCGGACGCTGTCACTCTCTTGGGCACACTGTAGCGAGTCCGATTTCAGCTGCAGCAGTGCTGGGAGGGAGAGTGAGACGGAGAAAAAGCCTCGTGTGAAGAGCTGCTTCTGACTTTAGGGGAGGAAGATGAAAGAGAGGGCGAGGGTTTGGAAAGTGGGGTGCGAGTGCACGTGTGGGTATGTGTTGAACAATCCAGAGATTGAACTGGAGTAGGGAGAATGATGACATCTCACCAATGTCATTGTCGTAAGTGTCGTCATCAAATTCCTTATGGACGATGTATTTTTCTACTTCAAATTTCTGCTCTTCCCTTCCAGGTTCCACCCGGTATGTTCTGCCCAAAACCACCCTAAGCTGGTGGGGAGGATACCTAATGGAGACACAGTAGGACATTTTTGTGGGGAGGTGTCCTCTAAGCAGCCTGCTTTCAAGGCCTTACGGAGTAGGAGGACCTACTGGGTTTTCCAAGTCCCTACCTGCCCTGGATGCAGTGGGCAGCAGACAGGACCCAGCAGGAACCGATCAATATTCCCCCACATAAGAACCTTTCTTCTGGCGACCTCCTGCTCTGGACAAAGAGGGCAGCCTGCCACGGATGAGAGGTGATGTCCGCATAGAGTCCTCCTTTAATGCGAAACTGTGGCCGCTTGTACTGTCTCAGGCCACAGGTGGCTGGGTGAGGAAAGGGCAGAGAAGGGAGATCAGATCTGTGGCCTTGAGGTGTAGTCCTTGGGCACCCATGTTGATTTCTTCTCTTGGAACCCCAAGTGTCTACAGGTTTACTGCATCTCTACAGGTTGGCACAGAGTGTTGTAAGTCTCCATAGAGACAAAAAACACAACTTTCATTTGTTGCGTACATAGTACAGGCCAATCACTATCTATCTATCTATCTATCTATGCTACCTTTAACCCTCGCAACCCTGAACTTCAGAAAGGCTGAGACATTTTTGCCCCAGGTCACAATGGAATCAGCATTAGAACCCAGATCTGTCAAAATCCAAAACTAGGCATTTTTCTGCTACACTTCATGACCCCTAGTTTTTCTCTGCCTCTACTTCCCGGTTTAGGAAATAACAAAGCATTCCAATTTTCTCCTGGGGAATGTCTACCCCATTTCTTTTTCATCTGCTCACTACACAGACCTTGGTGGTGGGTTCACTGATAGTTTGTGTCTTACCTGCCCAGTTAGACTCTATGTATCTTAAGGAACATTCTGGCTAATCTGTGTGTTCACAGGAAGTGCGTAATAATGATCCCTTCTCAGGTCATTTCCCGGGCATGGGAAGAGAATATCTGCCCAAGAGCGTTGCCACCCGACCCTTGCTTCAGTCCTGGAAGTGCCTCCCCAACAAGGCCTGACCTTCCTGAAAATCCGACAGCTACACAGTTGGAACCAGACAGCTGTGAGGACCCAGGAAATGGCATGGCAGAGGTAATGGTCAAGAGGAATAGGGCAGTGAGGCTGGGCAAAGGGAGGGGGCCAAGGGCCGGTCCTTACAGCACTGGGGAATGTCACAGTATTCCCACTTCAACTCGCCGTCCTTCTGCACATGGCACCAAGGCTTGGCATCCCCATCTGGATTCCTAGACGATAAAGAGAGTTTAAGGCTTTCAATCACATTTTCAATCACATCTCAAGCCATGGGGTAGAGGAAGCGGGCTCAGAGAACCAAGGGCAAAAACACTGAGCTGGGAGTGAGCATCCCCAGTTCTGGCTTGGCTCTGTCGCAGGCCCCACCACAGGAAAACAGCTTTAACTTTAGCAATGTAGCCTTCTCATCTCACAGGGTGGTTGGGAGGAGCTGTGAGCTGTGCTGTGAGGAAACTCTTGCAATTTGTTGGAATAACAGTTCCATGTGAGAGCAGAACAGATGAGGAAAAATGGCTATGGGACAGGACCTCTAACTTGGGATTTGGGTTGGAAAACTGTGGACTTTGCTTTTCATAATAGGTGTTATTATAGCAAATGAGCAGGTTGGGCTATGTAATCGCCAAGTGGTTTCTTTCCACTTTCTGGGCCTTCTGTATAACTTTGGGCATTAACTCTTCTCCCATCCCACGCCCCAATCTTGCCCTTTACGCAGACCTGAGTCCCCCGAACCCTGCGTTGCATACCGGCAGTAGTTGTGTTTGCCCAGGCCCAGTGTCTGGGCGTTGGTCTTCCATGCCGTATAAATCTTGCCTATCAAGGCCTTGGAATTCCACGGGAGGCAGGAGGCACCAGACGTGGTGAGGCTGCGGGTACCACGGTACGTTAACCCTTTTCCAAAGTAGCAGTCCCCATTTTTTTCTGGAACAGAAGAAATCTCACACTGAAACAAAACCAATAAAATGCCAAAGCAGGCAGGCTGGAGTATGCAACAGGACATGCAATGGAGCTGCTGGCCTGGGGAGCTGAAGGCCGGCAGCCCCCCAGTGAGAAGAGTCTGACACCATCCCATCTCCCTTTTTTCTTCTTCTTCAAGCCCTTTCACCTGGGGATGGCAAATGGTTCTCTTTTGGCATGTCAACTCCCATTGACTAGCTACAACTTCCTAGGTTACCGTGTTGAAAGAGATTCTGAGGGTATATTCAGGTTTAGCAGGGAAGGCTGCTGTATTCAGTTAGTGATGGTTATTTCTGGAGCTGCTCTGAAAGTAGTTATGGGTTTCCTTGCTTATAGTGGACAACGAACCAAGGTACTTCAATGCAGGGACATGTGCGCAGATCCTTCCTAGATTTTGCCTGCTCTGAAGGACTTGTTGGGCTTGGAAGAGAGAGTGCTGCCTCTTTTCTCCCCATTTGAAACTGACAAAAATATACCAGTGCAATAAATAGTGTATTAGAAGGGATCTTTAAGATCATGTAGACCAGTGCGTCCTAATTTAGATCAGATCCTGGGAGATGGGGAGCATGCTTTAGCATTACAGTAGAGAGTCCTCAGATTCACAGGCATATCAGCATTATTTGTAGACTGAATGCATGTTATTTTATATATGTATATTTAGAATTTAAAGCATGTTTTTCATACTACCGTAGTAATGTAATTATTTGTGAAAGTACTGCTGAATTCAGAGTACCTTTCATAAGATAGTATTTTTCAATCAGAGAAATTTTCTCACATTGTAAGTTCAGAGAGAGAGAGAGAGGGGGGGAGAGAGAGAGAGAGAGAAAGAAATAGGCCCAACAATCAAAAAAGGGAGATTCCCCATGCATTCTCAAAAGGGATGGAAACCACAGACGCAGCCCCACCTTCCCCTCTGCAGTTGAGGAAACTGAGGGTCAGAGGCATGAAGAGATCAGCTCAAGGTCAAACAAACAGCTAGAGGCCAAGCCTGGGTGGGGAATTAAGTCTCATGACTTTCTTCCCTCTACAGCTCAAATGATTAACTCTCACCCCAATCTTTTGTCCCCCCAGTTGTAGGAGGATCGTCAGCTTGTCCTTCTAACTTTTCTCCCTGTGACACCACAGTGGAAGGTGGGGAGGCCGCACTTACCCTGGGAGCAGACAGGCGTGCTACAGAACTCCGAGCTGTACTTCCCTGCCTTGAAGATATAGCACCAAGGTTTTGAGTCTCCATCCGGGTTTCTGAAAAAGCAGCCAGGGAAAGCCAGGGGTCATTAAAAGTGGAACTTCTGTCTCTGGCCCAAGGACTTTGCACGCGCTTCTGGGGAAAGGGTTAGTGTGCTTTTGGTTGTGCACAGGATAGTTGTATCATGTTAGGTTATATCATGACTTGGATGTTGTTTTCACTGGAGATTAAGTGTGGCTTAAGGAGATGTGTATGTGTGCCAAGTTGACAAAGGGTGGACTGTGATGATTAGTTTTGTGTGTTTACTTGGCTAGGCTATTATGCATAGTTCTTTAATCAAATACCAATCTAGGTGTTGTTGTGATGTGAAGGGAGTTTGTAGATGTGGTTAACACCTACAATCAGTTGACTTTAAGTAAAGAAGATTATCTTTGATAATGTGCGTGGGCCTCATCCAATCAGCTGTAGGCCTTAAGAGCAAACGCTGAAAAATTCTGTCTATGTTATCAACTCAGGTCTGAGTTTGCAGCTCGCTGGCCAGCCTGCAGATTTCAGATTTGCTAGCCCCACAATTGCATGAGCCCATTCCTTAAAATAAGTCACTTTGTATACACAGAAAGATTCTCACCAGAGGAAAAACTACTCAACAGGGAAGGCAGCCCTCTCACCTGCAGTAATTGTGGTTCCCGAGGCCCAGCTTGATGGCATCTGGCCTCTGCGCATTGTAGAGCTTCCGGACCAGAATGCTGCTGTTCCAGTTGACACACTCAGCCCCACTTTCCGTTGTGCTCCACGTGCCCCTGTAGGTGACACCCTGGTCCTTGTAGCAGGTGGCACTGGCATCTGATTGAAAGCAGGAAACGCAACATCTAACATGTGAATCCCCCCTTCCATTTAGTTTCTCAGAGGGGTCTCCCATCTGCTGCTGCCATCACCCCAAACCAACGAGGCAGGCTGGCTGCTGACGCTACTGGCACACAGGAAGTGAGTGGGTGACCAGGGTCACCCAGCTGACTGGTGGCAGAGCGACTCCCACTGGGCCCAGCACTCTGGTGTTCTAACCAACCCTTGGATGACCCTTCCTGTCCCTAATCTCCACCCATGCCCCTGTCACCAGAGTAGATTTCCTTTCTGGGTAGATTTGGAAATTGGGATTTCAGTTCCTCTCTCACACCCACATCCTACCACTCACCTACTTCACAGAGTTTCCCCGTGTATCCTTCAGGGCACTGACAGACAAAATCTGAGAAATATACAGCCTGCCAGCATGTGCCCCCATTGAAGCACCTCGGTTCACTGCAACCTATGAAATAGAAATAAGGAAACCATTCATTACTTTCAAAGTAGCTCCAAGAATAATATGAGTTAAAATATTAACAGTGCTCTCTCTACATGTCAGGCACTATTCTAAGTCGTTTACAAAATTAATTCATTTCATTCTCACAGCAAACCATGAAGTATGTACTATTGTTCTCCCCATTTTACAGAAAAGGAAACTGAGGCTCGGCAAGTGAAGGCATTTGCTGAAGGTTACGCAACTTTGCTCCTTTTTTGCTCAGCACCTTCACATTTGCCTAAGGCAGGTCATGCCCGGAATCACTGAGGATCTGAACACGATGGGCACCAAGAGACTGGACCCTGAAGCCTGAAGCCTCCGTCTGAAGTCCATACGTACTTCTGATGGGCACGGAGTGGCACTGGGCCCGGCCGCTGTCGCACCAGCAGTGTTCTACCCGGTTGCTCCTGAGCATGGGGCGCAGCCACGACTCGTGTTGCCGGTATATCATCTGGGTTTTTTCATCTCTGCAGGTCACTACAGCAAAAAACAGGCTGGTCACTTAGGGCACAACTCACCAAAAACTGATGTCCCACCTCCAGTCTTGCTGAGAAAATGCCTGTCTCACTTTCTATATACTCCCTCCTTTATTGCTTTCTTGCTGTTTACTGGAAGATGAAAAAATACCTAATATGTTGCCTCTAAAGACCCCCTTGGTTGTTGTTTTTGTGATGGGCCCTCATTTCAAAAGAATTTATCTATCAAAGTACGTTTATTAAGTAGCACTCCATTTTTTTCATTTTAATTCATCAAAACTATACACGCATATGTGATTACCTACCAGAGTTTTTGAGCCACCTGTGTAATACCACACTGACATGACGCATTTCTGGTCCTAAACAAAGAAAATTGGCATTTCGGTCTGTGCAGAAAATGTGCTGCTTCCGTTAGTATTTTTGAAAATATAATGAAAATAGTTGAAGTACTCCCACTAATGTCCTTTCCCTCTTTCTGTTTGCAAACCAGAATGCCAACTTAAAAAATCTTTAACTTTTAATTAATTAGGAAGTAACATATGCTCATGGTAAATAGTGCTATGCTGTTGGGTCTTTTTGAGTGTCCATCGGGGCCGGGATACCCTCGTCAGAAATGCTGTGCTCTCCAACAGTGATGGCACTGGGAGGTACAGAGTGACTCACTCTGGGGAAACTTCCACTTTAAAAGGGGTGTTGCAAAGTCATCCAGAGTCAAAGGAACTAGCTCATGAAGGAGAAGAGATGAGGGCCCCAGGTTGGCAGTTTGGGACTTGAACCTGGGCCTAGAGTTCTTCAAATCAGAGGCAATACAATCAGTCTGGCTGTTATCATTTTTTATGCTTAGAATCCTAACAGGAATGTTCCTCAGGTTTCTAGAATTGGATCTAGACTTGGTCTTAAAGACAGAAGTCTTTCCACACCGCTCTGTGAGGCGACCCAGGCTAGTTATCCCAATTTTACTACTGAAAGAACTGGCGGAAGATAAATCCTCTGACAGAGCCTAAAGCACCCTGAGCCCCTAGGCACCGGAGGCACAGAGATGTTAGTTAACAAAGGTGCAGAGTGGACTCCAGCGGGATGGGGATCTCAGCCAAGATAAGATCCTGGAGGACCAGGACAGCACCACCTTGTGGTAGTGTGGGCTCAGGCCAGTGACTGAATCTCCAGGGCATTTTCTCAGCTGTGTAACAGGATTTAGAGCCACTGACCTTGCAGGTTCCCACCAGCTTTGTGACTCCCTGACAGTCTGACTCCTTGAGGGCACACCTGTCCCTGTCTTCTCAGATCCTGGCTCACTCGCTTCAGCTACCTGGGTCCATGGTGAGTGAGTGACTGGGGAACACAGACATCTTTGCAGAATTGCCCTGTATAATTTCACCTTCACAAGGCCTAAGTTTTCAGGTGGTGGGCGGATGATAAATCCTCTGACAGAGCCTAAAGCACCCTGAGCCCCTAGGCCCTAACCTGCCTCCTACCTTCATCAGCCCTTCCACACCTCAGCTTCATCTTACCTCTGTATGGTCTGGCTCCCCTTGTCCATCGCCTGTAGGTTTCCTGCAAAGAAATCAGGGGTGGAGAAAGGATCAGCACATGCTGGGCGTCTTAAGGAGAAAGGTAGCCAATCCAGAAGACCACCCATCAAGCTGCCAATCAGATGCCACCTGCCAGAGAGTCCCCTCATGTTAACGGGCCCCATGTGGAATGTCCATTTCCTGCCCTCTTGTCTAATTCTTCCTCCACTTTCAGATTGGTGGTCTCCAAAAGAACTTTCTGAACAATGGACACATTTAATAGATGTGCTGTCTAATACACAGCTATTAGTCCACGTGACAACTGAGTACTTAAGATATGGCTTGTGTGAGTGAACTGAATCTTATATTTTATTTGATTTTAATTCATTTTAAATTTAAATAGCCATAAGTGGTTAGTGGCTACTATATTGAGCGGTGGAGCTGTGGTCCCCATCTCCTCCATGTAGCCATCTCCACCTCCCCTCTACAGTCCTCCTGCCCGGGTGTAGCTCATTTGGCCTCCCATGATGCCCTCTGCTGCTGGGCATTTTCAGAGAGCATGTGTACTGTATAGCTTTGGTCCTAATTAGATAGTAAGCAGCACGAGGATAACTTGACTGCTTTGATGGCTCTCAGTGCTTACAGTCTTTTATAAATACTTTATGGATTAATTCTAATGTGTTCTTTAAAAAAATAGCTCCAGAGAAGGTGTTCAGGGGCAGTAGAGTGGAATTAAGAACTGTCCCCTCAAGTCACAACATCGGCCTAGGTCTGCCCCCGGAAGCCTGAATCCCAAGCATTTATACAGAGGGTCTGTATACGTGTGTTTGGCAGCTCTGCGACCCTCTGTCCCTTTGTCTCTCCACTCTGACACCATCCCTGCCTTGGGGCTCCTGGGTACACTGACGAGCACCTGGAAGGACTGCAACCTGGAGGGGCAAGGCACACAGACGTGAGCTGCACACCCACCTGCCTGGGCAACGTGAAGACTGCTCCACAAAGCAGCAGTACACACAACAGCTCCGTGTTCATTGTGTTCATCATTTCCTCGGTGTCCCTTGTATTCTAGAAGAATAGGGAAAAAAGCTTAATCATGTGACATGAAAGGTACCACACAGTTCAAGAACCTGCACCATTACCATGGCCGAGCCTGACAATCAGTTCCTGTAGCAGGAAATGCAACAGCAAGCATCTGGGAGATGATGATGATGTGTGTGTGTGTGTGTGTGTGTGTGTAAATAATAGTACATGTATTTTTATTGTGCTAAAATACACATAACATAAAATGTAGCACTTCAACCATTTTTAAGTGAACAGTTCAATGGCATTACGCACATTCACGTTGTTGTGCAGCCATCACTGCTGCTTCCAAACTGTCACCTCCCCACACTGAAACTCCAGGCCCAATAAACAATAACACCTGCTCTCCCAGCAGCCAGCATTCCACATTCTGTTTCTACGACTTCCAGGCATCTTATATAACTGGAATCATACAATATTTGCCCTCTTGGGTCTGGCTTATTCCACTTAGCATAACATTCTCAGGGTTCATCCATGTGGCAGCCTGTTAGCCAAGCCTTCGTTTTTACGCTGAATGATGTTTGTCTGGAGGGAGCACATTCTGTGTATCCACTCACCCACAGGCAGCCACAGGTTGCTGGAAGATGATTTTGTCCAGAGATTCCTATGGGCTGAAGGGTGAGGCCATCTCTGGCACTTCTTGGCAGCCCAGGGACCGTGGTGAGCTGGCTTGGTTTCCCTTGAAGGGAATTCCTGGGGTTGACTAGATGGAGCCACAGAAACGTCCCCTCGCTGACTTTTTAGAGGAAACCGTAGGGATTTTATTGCTGGCACATCACAGAGCCAGCCCACCCCAGACTGCCTCATGACCTCCAGGTCTCTTTGTCCAACAGGGACAACGCTCCTGCAGGCCGCCCTCCCCTCTCCCCACGGCTCCGTCGGGATGTCTGTCTCTGTTTAAACAGGCCTGATAAAGTGCAGATGTGCAGAAAGAAGCAGAGGTGTCTGGTATTATTAGTCATTAAACTCAGATATTCCTGGACCCCAAATTCCCAGCTTTCCTGTGCCTTTCCCCAGAGATCTTGCTCAGCAGCTTAAAGTAGGTTAGTTGGTCGGGGTGTTTGTTATTCTGTGGTCTGGCAGCACCCCCATTCCTTCGTCCATAAGAATTAAATTGGGGCATTTCTTCCCTTGACTCATTTCCCTGCAGTCACAACAACTTTTGGTCCCATCCCTCCCCCTTATCCCAAGGATCCAAAGCATCCGGTCTCTTCAGAGGCTTCTAGGACTTTCATTCTGGCCCAGCTCTGGCTCCTGGTTTCTTCTTTATTTGCAAAGAACTGTCTGTGCTGTAGGAGGTGCCCTTCCCCCCTTCACATGGCCCCAGGCTCCCTTGAGAACAGAGATAAAAAATAAAGGGTGGGAAGGGTGATGGGAGACTGTTTAAGCTCCAGTGATTCCTTCTGGGGTGCGGGTGACAGGCAGAGGAGGGAAACCAGAGCTGAGGGAACAGGGAGAGTGCAGCAGGGCCTGGTCAATGATAAATCCAACTCAAGGAAGCCAAGGCTGTAGGCTCAGAGGGAGTCTTGCCAACAGGCTCACCCTTCCCACGCACCTCCCCTTGCCCATTGTGAAGGAAACAGAAAGAAGCTGGGGTCTGGGCCTCCACGCAGGTTTGGCATGCCCCAGGCCCCCTTCCCCCAGCAGGGTGGGGTGTGCTCTTTGGGGACCTTTGCTCAGAGGAGGAAGCTAGCTGCTATTCACTGGTTTCAGCCAGTTTCAGAAGAAAGAAGTACACCATCTGAAATAGGAGCCCACGACAAACTCTTCTGAACACGGGGAGTTGCTCTCGATTTTCTTTCTCAGAGGTCCTTAAACTTCCCCTTTCTCAGAATTTCCCAAAAATTCCTCTTAAATTCCCTTTCTTAAATTTATTTCATTATTTACAACTTTTAAAAACAGATCTTCTGAAACACATTCCCCCCTTTATTCCTGATTTTAATCATTGTCACGTATTTATTGATGCGAAGCCTGGAGGAAAGGGAGACCTCTGAACTCCAGGACTTGATGAAGAAATCCCAAATGAAGAAATGAGTGAATGAGTAAATGAACCACCAGCCGATCAAGGAAGTTAACCTGCATGCCAAAGCAAGCTGTCTTTTTAATATTCTCATTCACCCAAGTCCAAGGGATTGGTATAATTTTTTCTCTGGATGCCTGCCAAGTTACTGTTTTATTTCAAGAACTCACCGTCCTTTTAAATGGAACACAGTTCTAGATGTTGGAAATTGCAAAGTAAAGTATTACACATTCGCATTCCCTGGACAAAGGGAGGGAGGGGGGCCGAATGCGAAGCAGGGGCCTGACTTAGGGCTGCAGGCACGCACTCCAACCTCAGCGTCACGTTAAACCCCTTTGCAGCTAAAGAATCTGCACAACGGGGGAGAGAGTACATTTTTGTCTTCTGCTCCTGGGAGAGTTGGAGGCTGTCTCTCTCCCATCAGTCCTTATCTTCGTCTGCCTGTCTGGCCTTGCTGGGTTTTGAGCTGATCTAGTACAAATGTATCGCAAACAGAAAAACAATGTGATAGCTCCATCCTCACTGCACAGAGGCAATTAGAGCAGCTGGACGGGCTGAAGGGGTAAGAGGATGACAAAGGAATTAGTCACCCCGCCAGCAGACAAGCAGCGCAGTGCGAAGACATGGGAGAAAGAGAAAAGGGAGGATGTGTCCCTGTTTTGCCTTTGTTAGAGAGGTGGGTGTAGAGGGGTGGGCAGTGCCGGGACAAAGAAAGTAAATCCCAGGAACGTGGACTCAGACTCAGGGCAGACTCCCACGCAGGGTGCACAGGCTCCCACCGAAGGGGGAGGTGCCAGGAGCTGGCGATGAGACCAGGGTGGGAGGTGAGATTTGAGGAAGAAGTGTAAGAAGTCCTTCTGAGGCTCACTTTATAAATAAAAAGACTTAGAATTTAAAATATACGAGTTCTCTTTCTTTTGCTATATTCCATGGTTTCCCAGAAACAAAGAACTAAAAAAGGCAAGGAAGCAGGGGAAGGAAGGAGAGAAGGAAGGAAGGAGAAAGGAAAGGAAGAGAGACAAGGGAAGAGAAAAAGAAAAAGAAAACCCTTGGGGAAATCTCACTCTTGTTAGACTGGACTCTGAATCACAAGAAGAATTGCCATGTGACTCGAGCTATGGGACGGCCACAAAGCCCGCCACCCCCAAGGTCCCAAGGCTGCAGCCCTGGCAGGCCCACCCTGGCACACAAAGTTGATTTGTGCAGATCTGCAAGAGGCACCCTCTCTGGTGGATGGAGTTCAGCAGACACAGGGCTTGGCAAGTTGGCAAAAACTCCATGCAAATTAGAAAAAACAGGCCACATGATTGGCAAATTAAGTGTGGCCTGGATTCCAACAACACAAGGGCAGGCACCCTTGGGCAGGCCACAGCCTGCATGGCTCCACCCAGCGAACTCACTTCATCTGCTTCCACAACATCTCTGACCTTCCTGCCTGGAAGCCACGGTGGGTCCTACTGGCTGAGGCAACTGAGCGACTCTGTTCACTGGTCCCTCTAAACAAGTGTGAATGGTGACTGTTCTAGGGAACAATGGGGACAGTGGTCTGGTAACAAGGGGGTTACTGTCCTCAAGCCCAGGATGTGTGCCATTCTGGCTGAGAAAGCAATGATCACGCCAAGCAGAAACTCAGTGTTCACTTCTGCAGGGGTAACAACGGGGGCACGCTGATTGGCGGGCTGGGTGAAGTCACTGAGGCAGCTAGAGAAAGGAGCTGGGGGGCAGCAGATGAGGTGTTGTCCTCAGTGCCTTTACATTCCCTTTGCTTTACTTTTTCCCTTCCTTGTCCTCCTACCTTCTCCGTTTGCCCCCAGAGAAATCTGCTCTCAGAAAAGGAACTGATACACCCCTTCCTGTAAGGTTAAAGGGTCTGAATAAAAGTTAACACGCTGCCCTTCCAAAAGCATCTGTATTCTGACACATGAAAATCTATTCCCAGGAATGCAAAACCACGTGGGCTGGACTTCCAGGTTTTCCTCCAGGGCTAACATTCTGTGGTTTCCGCTATGAGGAGAAACGATATAACGAGTATACACAAGGCTGTGTACACTGTAAAACACTCATAAATGGGTATAAGTACTTTTACTGAAACACTCAGCCACCTGCTATGAAGTGATTTGCAATAAAGAAACTGTACAAATGCAGCCACTTGATCAGTCAAGTATTATGATTCTAGGTAAAAACAATGCAATTGCTCCAGATGTTATAGAACCAGAGGATTTTAGTTTCCATTTTTGCCTTTAAGAAAGAGGTAGACACATGGGCAAGGTAGAGGAAGGAAACTGCAAGGGAAGGACAAAAGTTAGTTGATACTGTGATCAAATTTAACATCGTGTGCAAGGTTTGCAAACTGAATCTTTAGTGAAGGAGATTCTTGGGTTATTATTGTGTTTCTCTCTGGAAATCTGAGTATGAGAAAGTCGGTCTATAAGACTTACCAAATACCCTAAAATGACTCATGCCTTTAAAACCGACAACAGCCTCCCTCCACCCTCCAACCACCGTGGCCCAGAATGGATGCCAACAAATTAGAAAAGAAATGGTCAGAACTCCTTGGAACAGCAAAGGCATGCCTCTAGAGTAAGGACAAGAGACGAGGTGAGGTGGGAGGAGGATCCAGGCCTCGGAGAAGATGGTGAGCTTGCACGAAAGCCCACTTTTGTCTGAACCAGAGTCAGAGGCTGGGACAGGAACCACTAGCCTGGTAGCTCTGGCCCTGTTTACATAGACCCTGCTTTTTACAGAGGCCATGATCTCAGAATAAAAGTCGATTTCAAAAACGGCCATCCCATAAGCAATTCGTAACCTTTAAAACAGGTAATTTTCTGTGTGCCAAAGCTTATTTTCTCTCTTCTTGGACAGAACTCTTTATAACTAGGGGACAGAAGAGGAAGAGTCTGTCTATTAGTTCTTTTTGGTCAATTCCAATGAGGGGAGTAGAATAGCATCCTCTCCTGCTCCCTGC